ACTGGTGGAAAGAAACCCTCAGTACTCTGGGTATTGTCCACAGATCACAGGCGTAGGTGAGTTGTTCTTTTTAATTAATCATTTGTCCTTCAAACGAGGGAAAGTTTCAGTGCCGTAGATAATTAGGTCCCAGAGTCGGGCGGCGGCAGAGCCGGTAGCCACCTGCTGCCTTTGTAGCGCTAATCTTTGTCTTGTAGGAGCGTCGTCCCCGAAGACGCCATGGCTACGCACGCCGAATGAGCAGAATGAGAAAACACCTCTGAATCCCCACATGATCCTGCTCCTCCTCCTCTTCTCTCTTCTTTTTATTCTGTTTGTCTTTTTTCCCCTCTCTGCGTTCTTTCAGACTCCCTCCACTCTTCCTCCTCTTCTTTCCTGTAATCTTTTACTTGTTCTTATTCCCTCCACTCCTCCTCTTCCTTTCACTTCTTTTACAACAGAACTTACCCCTCCTCCTCTTCCTCCTCCTCCAGATCATCTCTTCCTCTTTTCATCCTGTTATTCTTTTCTCCCAGTTCTCTACTCTCACAGCTTCCTCCTTTTCCATCTCGTCTTCTTCTCCTGTTGTTGCTCCCTACACTGTCCATCCTCTTTATACCTTCCATTGCTGTACAACTTATTCTCTCTTGACTTCCTCTTTCCTCCTTTCCATCCTTCCATCTAATATTTCGTCTACTTTTACACCATTTTTCTTAATTTCCTTCTCCTCCTATTCCTCCTCCATTTCCTTTCCATCTGTTTATATTTTCTTGCTCACACTTCCCCTACTTTTTCCTTGCTTTATGCCTAAATTTGTGCTTCTTTTCTTTTCCTCCACGCTGTTTCTTTTCTATCATTCTCATTTTTTTCATACCCATGCTCCCATTTCCTATGCTCTTTTTTCTCATTCTTTTTTGCTATTATTTCTCTATTTTGACTCTTAAACTCTCCTTCTGTATTTCCTTTTTTATAATTTCTGTTGCTTCTGCTCAGAGCCCCTTTGTTCCCTGCTCTTTCTTGATGCATCTCTACGATTCTTCATCTCTTCACCACCCTCCTCCTCTCCTTTGACCCTTTTTTTCTCTCTTAGACCCACTGCTCCTCCTTCTGTCTTCTTGTTCTTTTTATATTTTTCTTTCTACTCCAGTCGTCTTCCTGTTCTTCGTCACGTGGATTCCTTTTCTCTTCTCTCTCCTCGCCTTTCTTCCTTCTCTTGCTGTTTCAGTTCTTCCTTCACTTCATTCATGCAGAAATTGTTTAATTGCAAACAAGCACACAACCTGTGTGTGTGTGTGTGTGTGTGTGCGCGCGTGTGTGTGTGTATGTGTGTGTGTGTGTGTTAAAATGAAAAGAGGTGTGTATGACAGTGAATGTGATATCTCAAGTGAGTGAGTGTGTGTATGCATGCAGAAACTAATCCCATTAATTCAAAGAGAATAACAAAGACAGAAGGGGGGTGGGGGGGGGGGGGGTCCAGCTCCCCTGTCATTTGTCTGTCCTCTCTCTCTTCCATTCCCTCTCTCCCTCCATCATCATTATTCTCCGTCAGATCGGCTGCTGTTTTCCTTTAGGAGCGACTGGTGGTGGGATGGAAGAGAAGAAGAGGGAGGGGGTGGAGATGAAGATTTGTAGCTCCTCCTGGGAAGCTTCATGTCCTTTTCTTTCCCTCCTTCTTCTTCTTCTCCTTTTCCTCCTTCCCCTTTTGTTTCCCCTTTTTCCTCAGATATCCCTGCCTATTTTTCACTTTGTCCTTTTTCCATTCCTGTTACATTTCACTTTGTTCTTACTTCATTCTTTCTCCAACCTCTTTTCTAAACCTTCCCTTTACCCAAGTCTCATCGCCTTCACTTCATTTCATTTCTTTTTGCCTCCCTCTGCCTCTTTTCTCTTTCTTTTCTCTTCCTTCCTCCCCTTCCATCTCCTGCTCTCTCCACATCTTTTGCTTTTGCTCCACTTGTTTAGAATTGTTTGTTTTTCTTTTTCATTTTCATCTCCGGATCAAGTGAGCAGTGTGCACACCTATGTTTGTGAATGTGATAACTCAAGAATGAAGTGATGGAGAGTTAAGTTAATACCATTGTTGTATCTACTCAGATGAGTTTGAATGTCAGTGATTTTGACCTGAAGGTCAAGGTCACGTTTTTTGAAAATCTTCTGATGGGTAGCATGAGTGGTTGTCAGTATTTTTATTCCATGCTTCATCTACTTTCCTTTTTCTATCAAGGTTTTTCTTAAATGTCTTCTTTTCTTTCTGTCTACCTGTTTCACATTCAAATTTGTATTTCTCTTATTTTTCCCTTACTTCCTCCTTTATTTTCTCCAGTCTTTCCACCCCCATGCTTTCCCTCTCTCCTTTTTTCCCTCACTCCCTTTTTCTCTCATTCACCCCCTCCCCCCCTCCCTCCTGTCTTCCTCTCTTCAAGGACGTTTATATTATAAAGGATGAATTTGCATATTAATTCATTTCTTTCAATTTTTTCAGATTAGACGTTGTCAACACATATCAGTGCTGATCAAACTGCCACATCCACCAGAGACCTGACTGTGTGCATGCATAAGCGTGCATGGTTGTGCGTGTGTGTGTGTGTGTTAGGGGAGTTGCCTCCTGAAACAAAGAAAAATAAAGACCTGCAACAGAGGGAAAAGCAAGTAGCCTTTTAGTGCTCACCAACCTGAACAACTGTGTTGAGACATCATAAAAGGATTTACATGCTGGAAGGAAATGTTCCGGTTCTGCGTCGTGCTAAAGTTGCAGGAAGCGGCGTTGGTGGATGTAAGCTGCACGATAACATGTTGATCGCTGTCTGTGGTTAAATTGTGCTTTCACATTACCTTAAATGTTCACAAGCAAATAGAAAACAAATAACCCAGTATGTCTGGAATTACAAATATGGACTTGGATTAGCTTTTTTTAATTTGATGAAAGCTGTAGGAAATTAGCCAGCACAAGAGTTATCTTATCTTACACGTCTAAAGGATGTGTGCTGTAGTTTTGAGTTTTGGTTCACTTCCTGTTGTATTTTTTCTTTTCTTTTTCTTGTTTTACGTTTCTCATCGATCAGTCTGTGTTTTGCTTTTTTGCCCTTTGTCAGCCCCTTCTTCCACTTGTTTACTTTCTCTGACTGACCGCTTGTGTTTGAATCAAATTTGGATTTTGTGACTTTAGCATGTCTTCTCATTTGAGTCTCTTCTTCCAAGTGAACGATCGCAATTTGATTGTGATGATTAATCGTACCCTGTGCTGCTCTTTGAGAATTTCTGATGGAGGATGGGGCAAAAAAATTGCACATGACTTTCCCACTCTTTTTTAAAATTGTTACTGTGTTTAGGAGCAACATAATCCCTGACTGAGTTACACAGAGATGCACAGTGTTGTGTTTTTCAGTGAATGAAATAATGCATTCACAAACTGTGTATGAGTCAGCAGGAGGTGGTTGGGGCTACATGGAAATTCTACACAGGTTTTGACTCCAAAGTCTGTGGATTAGTTCAAAGAAAAATAATTTGGTGAGTCTGATTGAACTTACATGATCACAACCTTTCTGTAACCTTAACCAGCTTCAACTCTTGAAAATCTGAATACACTGTTACACATTCACAAGTACAGCTCTCCAGACACATCTGGGAATAATGCTACAACAATAACACTCCCATATTGCCATGCTTAATTCCAAGTGAATTTTGACATTTGTACACTTAAGCAACCTGGATTGTGTTCGTACTGAACACTGTTGGTCATCATGTTTAAGTGTAAGGGAACATTTCCTGGCTGTCTCTCCTCACATCGCTTCCTCTGATGGACGGAGAAGTTATGAATATGCAGCTGATTTCTGAAAGCTGACAGCTGCTGACAAATGAAGCATCTCACCTTACGTAAGCATTGCTACCTCCTGATTTGATGTAAGCTCACTGGCTGAACTTTGAAGGCTGCTGAAAAAATTGACTTCTTGTGTGAGGATTTCATGTTGTGAAGGGCCAGGCTGCCACAGGCTGTTAACCTATCAGTTAGGAGTCGTCTGAGCAATTTTAACTTTGCTAAAGGAAGCATCAAATTTCAGTCTTTCAACAATTACATGAGGCTTATTTTATTAGTTCTAATATCAGAAGATTGTCGTTTTCAAGCTGTTAACCTTAACCCTTTACTTTGCATCGAATCGCTGCGTCGTCCTCTTCTGATGTGTTTTGACATTTCCCCGTTTGAGTGTCATGAGCTGCTTTGATTTGATTGACGGGTTGACTGCAGCTGTGATTGGCTCACTGGCTGAACTGACAGTATGAATGTGTTTATTTGTTATACACCCATTTAAAAATGCTTCACTTGTGTTTGAGCCAATTACAGTTTTCTGCTCTGTACACTTTTGGTGAACCATCATAAAGTAAACTAATCTTTTTTTTTATTATTGTTGCTATGCACTGTTTTCAGTTTCATTCCACCTGGACTTTAGGTTATTTAGTTTCAGTCTGATTAATAACTTGCATAATTAAGTGTTCTATATTGGGATTTCTTACTTGAAATTATTCAAAAATGTACATACATTAAATTGCATGTGTGTATATATAAATATATTTTTTATGAAAAGTCTGGTTTTCTGTATTTTTTTTTTTTTACGGAACTAAAATGTTTTTGCACGTGTAGGTTTAGTTTTTAGTTTTTGTTGACTTTAATTACCTTGGTGGTTGTTAAACATGCCCATACAGTAACGACTTACAAGGAAGCAAGAAGACTTAAAACTAGCAGTTGATGGCATAACCTTACTGGAAGCATTTATTCAAGTTGTAAATCATATCCATGTATGATGACTTTTTAAAAAAATACCAAACAAAAAGGCTTCTTTAAAAATATTTCAACTTACCTGTTACATTTTAAGTGTTTTGTTTGACATTTGGAAGAACTAAATTAATCTTATAGAGCATTGTGTGATTTTTTTTTTTTCATTCAGTTTATTTTGCATAATACACTCAGAAAAAGAAACATTTATCAGACTCAGTTTTTGTATTGTCTGTTGTTTTATTGTCTGCAGTCGAATCCAGCAGTCCCAGTCTTCTGGCTCCTGATAACTCCTTGGAACGGTCCTTCTTCATCCGGATGAAATCTACACTCACAAAGAGAGGCGTGCACATCAAGTCCTCAGGATATAAGGTCAGAACAATGTATCGCAAAAATAAGTTGAATTCTAAAACTGGAACTTTGGAGAAGGGGGAAAAGAAAAGTCACTATGAAGTTTTTCATAAAAACCTCTTGTGTTGAAGCTGAAAGTCAATCTTTCTTCAATCACATATTAATTATTTGATTTAAACTGTGTGCACCCAGGCAAAATTACAAAAACCATCTAACAAATTATGGAGCTGCAGCTAAATTTTTGAAAGACTGGATTTTCTAACATGGGTATGATCATCTCCCTTCATCTGCTTGAGGACAAATCAACTCATTACTGTTTTTAATCTGTGATTCATGTGGAAATTTATAATGTAATGAAAAAATAGGTACTTTGCATGCTTATGTGTCTCCTTTTCTATATACAGTAGTTTGAAAAGTGTTTGCCTTCATCATGCCTCCTATTTTTTGTTTGTCACACTTAAATGTTTCAGATCATTAAACAAATTTAAATATTAGACAAAGATAACACAAGTAAACACAAAATGCAGTTTCTAAAGTGTTTATTATTAGGGGAACAAAACCCAAACCTACATGGCCATGTGCAAAAAAAAAGGAATTGCTCCCTAAACTAATAAGTCTTTTACATCGCTGTGGAGGGTTGTCAAGGTCATGCCACAGCATCTCAATCGGATTCAGTTTAGGACTTTGACTAGGCCACTCCAAAGTCTTCAGTTTGAGGTCACGAACAGATCGCCGGACATTCTCCTTCAGGATGTTTTGGTAGGCAGCAGAATTCAGGGTTCCACTTACCACAGCAAGTCTTCCAGGTCCTTAGGCAGCAAAACAGCCCCAGACCATCACAATAGCGCCACCATATTTTACTGTTGACATGATGTTCCTTTTCAAAAATGTTCTGTTAGTTTTATGACAGATGTAACCGGACACACACCGTCCAAAAAGTTCAACTCTTGCCTCGTCTGTCCACAGACTCTTTTCCCAAAGGTCTTGGGGATCATTAAGATGTTTTTATGCAAACGTGAGATGAGCCTTTATGTTCCTTAGCAGTAAGCAGTCTTGGAACTTCACCATGGATGCCATTTTGCCCAGTTTCTTTCTTATGGTGGGGTCATGAACCTTAAATGAGGCAAGTGAGGCCTGCAGTTCTTGGGATGTTGTTCTGGGGTCTTCTGTGACCTCTTGGATGAGTCGTCATTGAACTTGGGTTAATTTTGTTCACCACTGTTCCATGTTTTTACCATTTGACTCCAGCACTGTGGTTTGCTGGAGTCCCACAGCTTTAGAAATGGCCTTATAACCTTTTCCAGATTGAGAATCTCAGCTACCTATTTTATTATAATTTGGTCCTGAATTTCCTTGGATCGCAATATGCTGTCTGTCTTTTGGTCTACTTTTTCTGGGGGCCATTTAGGTTTGGATTTCTTTTCTTTTCCCCCTTAATAATAAACACCTTCATTAAGAAACTGCATTTTTTGTTTACTTGTGGTATCTTTGTCTAATATTTACATTTATTTGGTGATTTGAAACATTGAACTTTGATAAACATATAAAAAAATAGAAACTCAGGAAGGGGGGAAACACTTTTCATGCCATTGTGTATGTTTGTCTGTCAGCTGCTGCCTTTACCAGTCATCTTCCTGCATCTGTATCTCACCCTAGCATCCTCTCTAAGACAGCAATGCTCTGCATGTCCTCTGTTTACTCCATCCATAAATCTTCTTCATGACTTCTGCTCTTTGCATCATCACTCTTAAACCTGCCTCCCTCTCATTCACACGTGTATTCTGTCTTGCTTCTACTGACTTTCATTCCTCTTCTCTCCAGAGTATACCTTTACCTCTCCAGGCTTTCTTCCCCTTACTGTCTACTCTGACTCAGTCATCATCTGCATAGACAATAGTCCATGTATACTCCCATCTATCACCACTGCAAACAAGAACAGGCTTAGAACAGATTCCTGTTATCTCTCTGCATGCCCTATACCATCCTCAAATACTTCTGTGCCACTCTTGACTTGCAGTACCACACTTCCTGTCTTGGAACCCTATCAGGTGTCTCTAAATCCACAAAGAAACTTCCACAGCATGTCTTTTGTCCTGTTTTCCTTCTCTCACCCCAACCGGCCGTGTCAGACAGCTGCCCCTCCCTGTGCCTGGTTCTGCCGGAGGTTTCTTCCTGTTAAAAGGGAGTTTTTCTTTCCCACTGTTGCCAAAGTGCTCATAGGGAGTCATATGATTGTTGGGTTTTTCTCTGTATGTATTATTGTGGGGTCTACCTTACAATTTAAAGCACCTTGAGGCGACTGTTGTTGTGATTTGGGCACTGTATAAATAAAATTGAATTGAACTGAACTCCTTCTAACCTCGTCCATACTTCTCCATCAGCACTCTCAAAGCAAGCATCGCATTTGTACTGCTCTTTTATCAACATGAAGCCATACTGGTAGTAATTGTCAACTCTCTTCTAAACCTAGCTTCATCAACTTTATCTGTCTGTAGTTACTACAGCTCTTCACAACAATTCTTGAAAATCAGTTTCAGTACACTTTTCTCGATTCCTGTGTCATTATTTCACTCTCCTACATTGTGTTAAATAATATGGCTAAAAAGTGCACTGCCCTTGTCATCTGATTTGAATGAAGTGAACTTAACAGAACTGGGCTTTCAGTTCACACTTCTGAGACTTTAAAATTTATGTGGAAAAAAAATGTTAGATGAAAGTGACACTAGAACTTTGGCTGTCTATTACAGTGAAGGACTTGTCTGTTCTTCTTCCGCTTTTGCAGTTACAGTAACCTTGGTTTGATCTTGTTCCCATGCTTAGGTTTGTGATTTTTTTCTGCATAAAGAAAATATGCATGTATAGGTGTAACATCAGGACTCTAAGCTCTGCGACCGTCTCACTATTCACAGATCGAGAAGCCGGATTAAAGGGGATTCTTTGGGCTGCCTTGTTTGTGCGTGAATGTGTGTGTATGTGGGGTCACTCGTGGTTTATCCCTGACTAATACATTCAATTCTCCTCAGGAATGATGGCAGACAGCAGAGGAAAGACAGAGGAAAAGCTGTCAAAGACAAAACAAAATCACTAAAAGAACTTACAGATTTCATTGATACATTGTCTGAACCATGAATGGAATAGAAACTCAATTCAAACACTAGCATTATCAAAAATATAGCACAGGAAGTATGTTTACTTTGCTTTTTCAGCTTTTGTGTGAAACAAGTTTTTGTGTGGACCAGTTTGTGTTTTTGTTTATGAGCTGGGACACATAACCACAGGACACATATTTTATGTGGTCCTTACTTTGGAGGACACACATGGAAATGGTTCTTTGATAGCTCAAACTTGTTTGAGAGTTTTTGGTAAGTTTGGATTTTGGGCATTTGGGCATTAATATGATGATAGATGAAGATAAGGAAGAAGTGCCAGTATCCTCATAAAGATTTACATAAAGTTTACTAGCATAATAATTGGGAGACCTAAACAGACTGGTACTTATATAGTACTTTTCTAGTCTATTTGAGCACTCAAAGCACTTTCTTATCCATTTACACACATTTAAACAAGCACATTTTAACTTCACACACTCCAATAGATAGCTTGAGGGGAACTCGGAGTTCAGTATCTTGCTAAAGGATGCTTCGACACGCAGACAAGAGGAGTAGGTGATTGAAGAGCCGGCCTTCCACTTTGTAGAGAAAGTGCTTTACCTCCTGAGCTACGGCCACCCAATGAGAATAGAGCACATTTGTATTTTAGTAGAGACTACGATACAAAACAGATATTCACATATGTATTTTTTCAATTTTATTTTGCCTTTATTTATATAGGTAGTGCCCATTGAGACTCAGTGTCTCATTTCAATTCAATTCAATTCAATTCAATTTTATTTATATAGCGCCAAATCACAACAAAAGTCGCCTCAAGGCGCTTCATAGGTACAGAGAAAAACCCAACAATCATATGACCCCCTATGAATAAGCACTTTGGCGACAGTGGGAAGGAAAAACTCCCTTTTAACAGGAAGAAACCTCCAGCAGAACCAGGCTCATTTATAAGTGAAACCTGTTCCAGACAAGCAGATAAACATAATCATATATTAGTACAGACATTTGCACTTACATACACATAATGACACTGGTATAATTTTTGTCCACCTCTAAATTGGACATCAAGTTTGAGCTGACCAGCATACAGGTTATTAGTGCTTCATAGTTATCATCTATACAAAGTCTGAGCTGATGTCTTTCTTTAGCTTCTTCGAGGCCAAAAGTTGCATTATCATACATCCTGATTCTCAATACAAAGAAAGAAATGTAGGTGAATGCTTGTCTTCATATGAAAAAGTTCTCTGACTTTCCTTTACTTGTTTTTTCCCCTTCAGGTGATCCACGTCACAGGGCGCCTGCGGATCAGGATGGCTCTGACGCACAGCCGCTCAGTGCCCAATCAGATCATGGGGATGGTGGCGGTGGCTCACGCTCTCCCGCCGCCAACAATCAACGAGGTTCGCATCGACTGCCAAATGTTCGTGACCCGAGTCAACATGGACCTAAAGATTGTCTACTGTGAGAACAGGTAGAGCAGAAAAACTGAGTTTTTTTGTTTTGTTTTTGTCATCTGTTGAAAAAGAGTGCACAATAGTTTTTATGAAAAGAACGCAACAAAAAAGCAACATATAGGTCTTTAGCTATCATTTTCATTCTTAATTTTGTTAGTCTTATTGTATAAAATGCTTTTTAGTTTATATTTAATACACTGATTAACTTATTATGGGTTACATATAGTTTATAGATTACACAAATGAATGAAAACTTTTTGAGAAGACATGTTTTTATAATAATATCTAGTCCCTACCATGTCTTAGTAACACTTCAAGAAACGTGACATGAACAGCAAATGACATATTACACTATCATGATTTATTGGACAAAAAGAAATTATTAAAAAATTAATAAATAAATTAATAACATGCCCAATAACCCAGTTTAAATCTCAGCTGCACTTATTGCTGAATGTGCTGCAGAAGTAAACACTAGCTGTCTTTAACACTGTCTACTGAGTGACTGGAAACAGTTTTGTTTGTTTCAAGTCAAAGTTTAGAACTTGTTTACTGTTTTGGGCAAGTTTTCTGAAAATCTTGTGATTTCGATAACTTGAGAAGAAGACGGGTTTTGAAATTGATACTAGAAGGTTGAGGGGTAGCACTGAAAGTTGCCAGTGTTTAAACTTGAGTGTAAGTGAATGACACTAAAAACATTCTCGGTCAATATGACACAAATTTCTGATTCCACTTTCCGCTCAACTTTGCTCTTAGGTATTTTACACAGTCTGGCCTTGGGGTGAATTTGGTGAGACGTCCACTCCTGAGAAGATCGGCAACTGTCTTCAATGTTTTTCACTTGTCGATTATCTTTCTTTTAATACAACTTCAAATTGCTTGGAATGGCCCTGAAATTTCCCAGACTGATGGGCAGCAATTGTTTCTTTAAGATAATTATAGATGTCTTTCCTCCTTGACATTGTGTTAACACATACCTGAATGCTCCTGATGAGCAAACTACCAAAATGTCAGCTTTTATAGAGGCAGTCACAATTTCTGATGATCAGTTAATGATGTACTGACTTATATCACCTTATATTACACACACATTGTGTACATAATATTTCAGCTGATACATATGAACATAGTATTGCTGAATAAATGATATGTTTAAGGACATTTTAAAAGAGTTTTTATCTACAAAATTATCTGTTCATCTTAGTTTATTTTGATTGGACATTTTAGAGTGCTCCACTTATATTGTGATTAAATATCACAAGAAATTATTCCAAAAAAACTGACTACCGACTACTTCTGCATTCATCTTTCACACCTGCTGTTCAAGAAGAAAAGTTGCCTTCCCTGTCAGAGCATCTTATTCATGAGAACCCTGACCCAATCCTCCCCGGTTTAACAGTGAAATATGTGTCTGATGGATCTATCTCCTTTGCTCTGTCCAGATAAAGCAGATAGGTATCAGGATCTCATGCAGGAGTTAACCGGCCAACCAAGGAGATTCATATCAGGCAAAAAAAAAAAACCTTCATGTTTTATTATAGAAAGAGAGGAGGGGAAAATGATAGTAGGCAGATTGCTTTATTGGTGGGTGGAAAAAAGGGACACAATGCGAGGCAGATGATGATATTCAGTGCGCAGCGACAGAAAGCGTCTCTGTGGTGAACAGGCAAGTGTCGCTCCCATTACAGCCCCATTTTGAGGATGAGTTTCTAAGAGAATGAGAAAATGGGAGGATGGGTTTTTCTAAAGAACAGAGTGTGCTGTTATCTGCCTGCCAGACATTAGTCCTCCCACCGCCCACTCGCTGTCACAATGAAACTGGGGAAATTGTTCTGTCTATCCTGTGGCAAATTTGTTCAAATTAAAGCTTTTTAAAGCTCACATGTGTTACCTGTACAATAGACAGGCAGCTTCAGTCTCTGTTGTTGGGTTTATTAGCTTTTTTTGCCTCCCCTGAATCAGACTTCGTAATCATCGAATACCAGAACTGCAGAAAGAAAATTGTCTCAGTGTGACAAACTATGTATTTCAAAGTTTCACAACATTTCCACTTCCATGCAGCTTATTGTGGTGGGATATGGATGCAAGATTATCATCCAAAGCAAAGCAACAGAACAGAACATGGGGAAGTGGATATTCTTTCATCAGCAATTCCACTTATAAAGGAGCAAATATAATCTTTGTTATTGATTATCAGAATTAGATTCTTTCTTCAATTTTTGCTGACCGCTGGCAAATAGATACGGTGGCCCTGAGGTGCCATTTTAGAACATTTCAGAAACATATCAACAAAATTGAAAAGACAACAACGTTCTGTAAAGCACGAAGAAATCTCGAAAACTCAGCAGCACTTCAGAAATCTTAACAACAGTTCAGAAACCAAAGTGAGATGTCAGAAAACACAACATTTTGGAAAATATCAAACAGAAAAAGCTAAACGAATGCAACTGAATAACATAACCAGCGTGTGGTTGTGGTGTTTCGTTGAAAGTGGCGTAAAAAAAACAAATGATGACCAAAAAGTTTAGAACTTTCAAAGAAGTGAAACCTGTGTAGCTTCATTTAAGTGAAATTTTAGAAAAAAATCAAAATCATGGGGCCTTTTAGACATGTATTTGTGTATTACACATACAGTTGAGCTTCCACTAGGGGTGGCTGTAGATCAGGAGGTATAGCAGATGATCTACTAACTGGAAGGTTATTGGTCCGATTCCTGGCTGCTCCAGTCTGCAAGGCCAAAGTATCCTGAACCTTAAGTTGCTCTCTGAATGTGAATGCTCGAGTGCTCAAGTAGACTGGAAAAGTGCTAAAGAAGAGCCAGTCCATTTACCACTTTGGAACGTGTACTCTTTGTTTCAGAATCAGTGACTACATGGACCTGACTCCAGTGGACATTGTGGGGAAGAGGTGCTACCAGTTTATTCATGCTGAAGATGTGGAGGGGATCAGACAGAGTCACCTTGACTGTGAGTATTGGAACCACCTGACTGAGTGCTGTTCTCTGATTGGGCAAAATAATTTTTTCCTTAGTAACTTTGGAACTAGCAGTTTATAAGCCAGCTTTTCAACAATTTTTGCCTACAGGTTAAACACTAGTTTAATGTACTTTACCTCTAATCCAGTGAATCTGTACATTTGTTTCATAGCAGTCATACTGCTAGATTTCCCTCTTCAAAGTTTAAAACCACTTATAGAGAATCCCTGCTCTCCTGTATCTTTGAAAAGTTTTCGCACAGCAGCAACTCTGCAATCTTATTACCCTTGTCAGGAGGCATAATGCACCCTCTGACACACACCCAAGCAGAGGCTTGGTATCCATGTTTAGTGGCTGTCTGGATGATTTGCGGCGTGCTGTTTGTTGCTGCAGTCACATCTTTACAGTGGCGGTAAAAACTGAGGAGGCGTTCAGAGCAACACAGCGTTTCACGGTTTGTCTGAGGTAGTGAAGGCATTTAGGCAGAACGCCAAATAATAACAAGCGGCACAGCAAGGACGGCTGGCGTGATGGGAGTCGAACACAGGCAGCTACAGTCAGATTCTGTCAAATATTGTCCACTGCGGCTGATTGCATTCAGATATAAGGCACAGATATTTCTCTGAAGACCCTTTTCTATTAACGTGGTTTGAAGGCTTAAAGCAGTGATTTGCGAACTGTATCAATAAAAGCTGTAAAAGCAATAAAATGCTAACTTTTCTGAGATTTGGTTTAAATTACTCAAACTGCTCTGAAAAGTCATGGAACCAACATTCTCAGAGATGTGGAATGACTATTGAATATGATGAAAACTGCCCTCAGAAGCTGGTTTACATTAATACTCTGAAAGAACGAAATGTTTCTTCCACTGAAAACTCTACATCCAGATGAACAGAATCAACTTTCTGGGATTTCCTTACCTGGATAATTCAGTATGCATCAAGACAAAAAAAAAAACCCCAGACCAGTTTGTTTACCAGTATCATTTTACTCAGTGTATTACAATTTACATCTTATTAAGAACATAGGTCTAGGGCATGAAGTCGGTTGGCTCACTGGCCTTTTTGTCCCACTACATCTACACCTTAACCAAAAGAAGCTTTTTATTCTCTCTTCCTCCCCTCATTGGTGGCAGTTTCTTCCTGTTCAAAGGGCATTTTTCCTTTTCACTTTTGCTTGGGGTTTTCTCCAAGTGCCTTGAGGCATCTGTTGTTGGGATTTGGTGCTATATAAATAAAATTGCATTGACCTTTAACTTAATCTATAAATTTATTGGCACTATGATGACTTTAATTATTTCCTATAATCTTTATTTGTCTGAAGATGCATTTAGTTCATCTCTGTTTGAGGCTGCAGTTTGTTCTCCTTCTTTTAGCCTGGCTGTGGCTCAGAAAGCAGAACAGGTCATCTACTAACCGCAAGGTTGGTAGTTTGATCTCTGACTGCTCCAGTCTGAGTTCCAAAGTGTCACTGGGCAAGATATCGAACCCCATGTTGCTCGTGATGTGTTCATCAGAGTGTGAATATTAGATGGAAAACACTTGTAGATGTAGAACAAAGTACTTGGGTGAATGAGACATACTAGAGTAAAATGGTACTATATAAGAAGCACTCCATTTGATTTGAATTAAATTTGGGTTTATGTTTGAGCTTGGTGTTAACGTTTGTTTAGGCTCTTTCACCTGTGAAGGTTTTGAAAATTGGAATATTACACTGGTGGAAATGTGTGGAAGGCCACTGTTGATGGCATACCACTAGAAAGGCTTCAGTGTTTTTATTCCTGGACGAAGGCCTGTGTAAAAATAAAGATATTGTCATTTATTTTAAATAGGGAGGGCCTTTGTTTTTTTTTTTTCATTTGAAGCCCATTTCTATTGGTTGTAGAAACAACAGACCAATCATAGTGCATTTAGTGGTATTAAGAAGGGGTCTCCTTGTTGCTGAACAGTGAAAGAAAATAAATCACACACACGCACAAATGGCAGTGTTTGATTTTAGTGTAGCTAGTGGTCTCCTGCTGGTTTGATTTTTTTACATGCACTCTGAAAACAGAGGGAACTGACTTTAAGCCTTTGCTGTCAGTGTTATGTTAAAAGAAATTATTTGATACTGTGTTGCAAATTATTCTATTAGTCCTAAAGGTCTGCTAACTTTCACTGGAAAGGAGGGCCCTTAAATGACTGTACTTACTGTACTTACCTCATCATTTCTCTGCAAATAGAGATTTTTGCCGGTCTCTTTAAGCTCTGACTCCCGACACCGGCCCTTACTGCTGTTGTGACACAAATGAAACATGTCACATAGCTCATCAACAAAAAAAAGGCAAGAAAATATACCAGCATGGAGCTCCCTGAAACTTTTTCAATTACCTTCTCCAAAAGTTCCTGAGCTCTGAACATCCAGAGTGGCAATCAGGAAGTGGCTCTATGGCGGCCTGGCGGGGTCAGGCAGAATAAGGGGAGGGGGGCAGGTTAGGATGTGTAAAACAAAAAAAAAAGGGGGAAGTATTGAGGGAGATTATTCCTCTCTGTCTGCAGTGAGGATGTGAGGTCAGGGAGGCAATCTGGCAGCCAACGGTTTAAATGACTTGGTTTTAGTTGAGCGTAGTCTAATACAGCACCTCCAGTCACCTCTGCTGTTCATTTTATTCTTCCTCTTTCAAAATTAATTTCCTCTGTGAAAGGGGGGCTTTCAGAAATAGATGGCTACAGGGCACTGAGGTTCTCCATGTCTTTTCTCTTTTTTTCTTTCCATCCTCACCGTCAAATGGAGCGCGGTCAGATTGTTCTAAAATCAGCCTTTCTTTGGGGCGGTTTAATTCGGTGGCTTTATGAACTCGCTGCTGATTGTGTGGAAGCTGATTTCAGACAGGCAGGCTAATGATTCCTAACTTTTTTTTCTGCAGACATGGGGGAACTTTCTGGCTAATTGGATAGCGACAGAAAACGTTTGTGTGGACATCAAATGCAAACACAAAAATAAAGAGTAACATCCAGTTTTATTTATATTGGCTTGGTTTTTCATCTTGATACCTTTAAATGTCAGATAATCATTTAATACAGTGATTTAGAGGCATGTTCTTTTAGTTTTTGTGTTCTTTGTGTTCTGGCCAATCAAAATGAGCTCTTTGCACTGGATGTTTGTGTGAAAGAAGAGCCAGACTAAATACTAGACATACCAGGCCTCCACCTCTATGTGCCTGTACTCAAACTACATCCCCAATTCAGAATCTTCTCAGTTAAATCGTAACCGATCGTTGAATCATTCATCATTTTCAGTTGAGAAACAGACTTTCTGCACTTCAATTTTCCTGTTTTTGTGGAACAGCAGCAGCTCACACTCTCCGATTTTTTTTGGGTGGGATTTCCACATCTGCTTCTGGTTACCCCATTGCAACATGAGTCAAATAGTTAGGGAATCAATCAAGGTATATTTTAGAGGGATAGCCTATTCTCTCAACAGGGATCTAAATTTTAAAAGGCTTCTTTTCAAGTGGAGGACGAAGCATGATCCCTCTCTGTGAAGAGGCGTCTCTCTCTAAGTCTCTATCATTACCTGCTGACAGCTGGTCTAAGCTCAGGTCAGATCTCAAAGTCAATCTGTCCTCGTTTCCACTCAGAGAACAGAGAGAAAGAGAAGGAAGAGATAAAGGGTGAACTTTCCTTTTCAAAAAGAAAGGGGGGAAACGGAAAAGAGTGATTTGTCGGCACGAAAAGGAAAGAAATACTCAGCACAAGGGCTGGGAGAGAAATTCATCTTTTCTCAAAGAAAGGGATAGAGATGGGAACTAGTGATTTACAGACAGAAAAAAAGGCAGGACAAAATGCTAATTTTCACACTGAGAGACAGGCTGACGAGCCGTTTCATGTCTTTTTCAAAAGGGGCAGGAAGAATGAGAAAAGAGGAAGGATGAAGATGGGATAATTCCCATGTTTTCACATAGTGAGAAGGATCACAAAATGCATTATAAGTAGCAAAAGAGAATTAAGGAAATAGAAGAAAGCGAGAAGAACTTTGCAAAGAAAGGAGAAATTAGAAGATGGTGTTGTAGTTTAACGGAGTGATAGGGAAAAATGTTCAGTTGGTTTTACAGAAGACAAGCACATCCATTACATGAAGGTGAAGATGTGTTAGAATCTATTGTGATCTGTGTTAGGCATCAAGTGAAAAGTTCATGTTTTCATAATGACTGATGAACACAACACTAGTGTCACTCATTCTTGCCTGTCCCTGACCTCTCTCATGAGTGACTAGGTGACATGATGTGTGTGCTCCAGGTAATAGACAGTAAATCACAATACAGCTTGTTAGGATGGCAGTGGTTCAGACAGCACAGCTACCCAGCGGTACTGCTCAAGGCAGTCCACATAAAAGTTTGAAAGAGTTTTGAAAACAAAAGCAGAAAAGGTTCTGAAAGATTAAAACCTAACATCAGAACATATGTCACAGTGGCTGTGAATTTGATCCGAGACAGTTGGCCTAGAAGACAGAAATTTTAATGACTTATTTTGAATGAATTTCTGGTTTTTTTGGACAGTAATCCAAATTGAAAGATTTGGATTAATAATTGAATTTAAAAGAAAATTAGAGACAAAAAAGATTTCTAGGTCTTTTCTTAATATCATGTTTTAATCAAATTTATGGGAATTAATCTCTTCACCCTCTTCAGCCGGTCATGGCTGATGGCTCCCTGAGCCTGGTTCTGCACTGACCTTTGCCCATTTAGCTTTGATTGATAGATTTTGGTGATGTGTCACAGCCTGCCAAAACTGTATTTGTTGGGTCAGTGATGTTACATAGAAAAGGATATATAGGTTGACGATGTTACATCTAAGACAGAAAATTCTGGGATTTAATATTTCAAGGATTCATCATGACAAACTAGTCATCAATCATCATTGGCACATTTTAGACTGAGGGCAGTGGACAGCCAAAGAGTTTGTTACACATGTGGAATCTAAACATTTTGTACCAGGAAAGATTTAGTGCTAC